GGGGACAGGAACAGAGCAAACATTGTCATATCACCAGCCCAGACCCAGAGCCTCCCAGAGAAGAGCAGAGGTTCAATGAAACTAGAACAAATGAGTGCTGAATGTGATCTGACTTCAAAGAACCCAAAAATCAGGGAGTAGACACATCAAGATAAGAAACCAGAAAAACTGGCCCAAAGGAAATACAGCTAATTTAGGGAACTGTAAGATAATTTTAATTTGGGACTTTGGGGCAATCCAAGAAGATACAGATTGCACCTAATAACCCAAAACATGTTGATGTGGGAAAGAAACAAAGTAGAAGAAAGGTTCTTGGAAATTAAAACTACCACTACTTTTAAAAATATTTTTATTTATGTATTTATTTGTACTGATGATCAAACTCAGGGTGCTTAACCACTTGGCCACATCCTCAGCCCTTTTTTTTTTTTTTTTTTTTTTGAGACAAGGTCCTCCTGAGTTGCTTAGGGCCTCACCAAATTGCTGAGCCTGGCTTTGAACTTGTGATCCTCCTGTGTCAGCCTCCTGAGTTGCGGGGAATACAGATCTGTGCCACCGTGCCTGGCCCTAAAATCAACATTATTAACATAAAATATTTAACAATAGGACTATAAGAAAAAGGCAAATCAGTCTCCCAGAATATAATCCAAAATGACAGAAATGGACAATCAACCTAAGAAGCCCAAACTCCAATAGAGAAAATGAAGGGAAGAAAGTATTTTTTTAAAAGAGAGAGAGAGAGAGAGAGAGAGAGAGAGAGAGAGAGAGAGAGAGAGAGAGAGAGAGAGAGAGAGAGAGAGAGAGAGAGAGAGAATTTTTTTTTTATATTTATTTTTTAGTTTTCGGCAGAGACAACTTCTTTGTTTGTATGTGGTGCTGAGGATCGAACCTGGGCCGCACGCATGGCAGACGAGCATGCTACCGCTTAAGCCACATCCCCAGCCTGGGAAGAAAGTATTAAAGAAACAGCAAAAGAAAAAAAATCTGAAAAAAAGGCTCAAAAATTTCAGTTTAAAAGGGGCCTACCAGCTGGGCACAATGCCTGTAATCCCGGTGGCTCAGGAGGCTGAGGCAGGAAGATTGCAAATTCAAAGCCAGCCTCAGTAACTTCGCAAGGTCCTGAGCAACTTGGCAAGAACCTGTCTCAGAAATAAAAATAAATAAATAAAAAGGGCTGGGAATGTGGCTCAGTGGTTAAGTGCCCCCTAGGTTCAATTCCTGGTATCAAAAAATTAAAAGGCGCCTACAAGTACCAAGCATAGTAAATGGGTGGGAATAAAAGTCCACATCTAGACACACCTTCATTAAATTACCTTCATATGCAAATACTAATGAGGTTTTGACAGCAGACCATTAGCAACTCCCATCTTGCATAGCTCTAAGGGTGGACAGGGCGCAGAGCCATGCCAGCTCAGAAGATCTTCACAGGCAACTCTCTCCGCCTATCTGATAGGGTAGAAGCAGGCTTGTATAGACATTACCCTTTCCCTGGCTTGGTTGTTCTAAGAGCAGTAAAAACAAATAGGCTACAGCTTGCTGAACTATTTATATTGGTACTGTCACCCCGACCTTACAACTGTCCCCCCACATTGAGTAAATAACACTTATAACTTTTCTCTGAGAGGATAAAGATATGGATTCTGGAGTCAGGCTGTCTGCATTTGAATCCTGTCTCCGCCTTTTACTAGCTTGGGCAAGTTACTTAACCTCTCCGTGCCTCGGCTTTCTCATCTATAAAATGGGAATGTAAATAGTACCTACCTCAAAGGGCTGCTGTGAGGATTCAATCTTTAACATAACTAAAGTACTTAGAGAAGCACCCGTTCTGAAAGAGTGACTGCTATCTTTGGCTATTGTTATTCAAAGATATAAACATAACCAATAGAAGAACAGTGAAATATAATAGCCAGGTGGTAGGGGGAACGTGTTGGGGAGTGGACGGTGTTAGAAGTGAGGTGGGCCCTTAGTCTTCCAAGCCCAGCCATCAGTAGACATTGAGGATGATAGACCAATACTCGCCACTTGAATTTCAATTTGGATCTCTGGGAAGGACCGTAAGTAGAACAAAACATAATCCACTGGACATAGTGGACTTGGGATGCTGGAAGGAGATTTTTTTTTATTTTAGACCATCTGTTCTTTGATATTCAGCCATGCATATTTATTACTTGTATACCTTAAAAATAATTAGTCTTTTAAACAAGTTACTAGCTAAGGTTGGCATGGCTTTGGTGTGCTGGAGCAGGCCCATGAGAGCCAATCATGCATATCCATGAGCCATCGTGGAAGTATTTACACCACAGGAATCAGAAAATGCTGTCAGGCAGAGCTTTCTGACCAGAGAGTAGATTTGTCAGCACACCACTAGATAAGTCAGTTATCCCTGTGATAACTTTCAACACTTTTAATATCCCCTGCTTGAAGTTCCAAAGATCAGAAAGCTGGTGAAAGCCCTCAAGGTCTGCATGCATCCTGAGACCTAAGTAAAAAGAAAATTTCATCCTTCTGCTCTTGAGGGTGCTTCTGAACTGCCTGAGCCCCTGAGGACTCTGACATTATGACTGAGACAAAGTATTAACCTAGTGACATTTTCCCTCTGACTTGGTATCAGAAATATGGGCGATACTTTGAATGACATTTATTCATTTATCAGAAATACATATATTGAGTATCTGTCCTATGCCAGGAACTAGACCGTCGAGCCCTGGTCCCAGCAACAAACCCCTTAGGAATGCTTCCTGCCTCATTGACAAAGCCCAGGCCTTAGAAACTCAGCAGCAGCCTGGAAAGTGAGGAGTTTCTGATTCAGTAAAAATTGCGGGTGAGGCCCGAACTTGTTTCTATCAAGTTTCCCAGAAAGGATGCTGGTCTGGGACCACACTTTGAGAATTACTGCTCTGGAGATTCCAAACCAGATGAAGATTCTTCAATGATGGTAAAAACACGATTATATTCCCACCCTTGAGCTAAATTTGGTTACATGAAGTCTTCTGGCCCAGTGACTGCCCTTAGCCTGTGAAAGGGATAACACACCAGTTCCCTGCTGTGGATTACAAACACACTTGTGAAAAACACACATTTGCATTTACTCACTGGCAATACCAGACTCTGGTGGTACAATCTCTCCAGGTATTTAGGATGATGGATGTGTGAAGGCTGTAGTCTCGCAGGCTCAACTTCAGTCCTGGCCCAGCTACTGGCCAACTGTCAGATTCTGGGCAAATTACCCATACTCAATGAGCTGTCATTTCTTCAGCTGTCAAGTAGAGCTAATAATATATTAACCTCATAGGATTGTTCTGGGGCACATGCTAAATAGGAGCACGTATGTGAAATGCTAAGTACAAAGCACATGCTCCTGAGGCCATGATTAGTCTGTACAGAAATAACGGTGTTATTTCTACTGATTTGTGTTTCTAACTAAATATTTGTATTAGAGGTGGCTTTGGATTGAGGAGATGGTCTTGTTTTTAGTGCATCCTCTATGTGCCTCACCAGACTAGCATTTGACTGGCCAGGGGCAGTCAGAGCAGAACAAAGCTCCTTCCTCCATATCCTCCAACAGCACTCTGCCCCAGGAACTTCTCAATCCAATGCATTGAGACGGAACAAAAGAGGATTTTTAAAATACATACATATATATATACATATATATATATTTAAATATATATGTGTGTGTGTATATATATTTAGTTGTACTTGGACACAATAGCTTTATTTTATTTATTTATTTTTATGTGGTGCTGAATATTGAGCCCAACACCTCACATGTGCTAGGCTAGTGCTCTACCGCTGAGCCACAACCCTGGCCTCAAGAGAGGACTTCGAGAACTCAATTGTTCTAGCTCCATGCTAGAAATGCAGGAGATGGAATTCCAGAGCAGGATTCTGGTTCTGAAATTTCCTTTCTCTGAAATAGCTATCAAGAGAGAGAAAGAAAGGAGAAATTTAGGTTGTATATGTGTATGTGCATTTTTTTTTTTTACTATCTATTCCCACCCATCACATATTCTGCCAATGTTTTACAAGGTGTATACTGTAAGTTCCGAGTGGTCAAGGGTCATGACTGTTCCATGAGCCACTGTACCCCCATGCCAAACACAGTGCCTGGTATGTGACTGGCATTCAATAATGGCATTCCGGATGGATTGAATGGAAACTGGCCCAAGAAAATGGGCTGTCTGCAGACGCTTGGGGAAAAAAAGAAGAAATTGTGAATACTTGAAACTGGATTTCTCCAGCTGGTGATGAAGTAGTTCTGGAAGAATGAACTAGAACTATAGCTAAAAGCAACAACCTGAGTGTTGACATTTGCTGGCAGGTATTCTGTGATCCTGAGCCAAGCCAGGACCTACCAATAAAAGCAAGCATGATGATGATGGGCCCAAGGCTGTGCAGCTGATCACCACCTTGTTGCTCCTCCTTCCCACAAAGACCTTGTGTCTGTCTTTGCTCCTGCTGTTTCCTAGAATGCTCCGATTAAGCAAATCTAAATACCAGATGTCCAGTTGAATTCAAATTTCAGATAAATAATAGACACCTTTTTAGTATAAGCAGATTGCATGTAATAGTGAGGACATGTAATAAAATTGTTTTACTCATTGGGCATGGTGGCTCACACCTGTAATCTCAGAAGTCTGAGAGCTGAGGCAGGAGGATCACAAGTTCAAAACCAGCTTCAGCAATTTAGTGAGGCCCTAAGCAACCTATCTCTAAGTAAAATATAAAAAGGACTGGGGATGTGGTTCAGTGGTTAAGCACCCCTGGGGCCCTGGGTTCAATCCCTGGTATAAAAAAAAAATTATTTTACTATTTGCCTGAAGTTTAAACTTAACTGGGTGTTCCATGCTCTTTCTAGCAACTCCACCTGGCCCATAGGACCCCACTTTAGCTCATACATTAGGAAAACTTCTCATCGTTTAATGCCCAGTCCAAATGTCACTACAGTTTCAATGTGCCTCCCAAAATCGAGATGTTGGAAACTTAATCCCAATGCAACGGTGAGTCCATCACGAGGACTCTGTGGGTGGGTTGATTCTGTTATCATGAGAGGGATTTGTCATCAAGGGAGTGGGTTTGTTATAAAAGCAAATTTGATCCCTTCTTGCCCACCACATGATGCCTTCTGCCATGTTGATACAACAAGAAGGCTCTCACCAGATGGACTTCTCAACCTCCAGATGCATGAGCCAAATAAATTTCTGTTTTCTAGAAATTACCCGATGGTATTTATTCTGCTATAGCAGTGCAAAACAGATGAAGAACATAACTTTCCAGGACCTTTCTGTACTGCTTCAAGCCACCCCAGGCAGAATTCAGTTTTAGCCTGTGGTCCATTTCACATCAAATCAGCACCTAGGAGTGGCCAACTCCCTTCTGTGACCCCAGTGAATCTTCTGCCCCTGGGTAAATCTGTCACCTAAAAACCCTGGAAACTTCAGGTTCCAAGAGCACAGAAGGATTCATGTTGAGGAGAGGGATCTGAAAAAGTCAGAAATGAAGAGGATCAAGAATAAAACAAGTTTTTGGCCCCACAGACACGTTATGCAGCTAACTGATCTCTCTCCTTACCTGGTTCTTTGTAGATTCTCTGGATGGTGACAAAGAAGATGGTGTGCTCAATGTCAACCTCAGGTTTCTTTCCTAGCAACTCAGATCATCATTTGGGGTGTGTTGTCCCACAACCGGGGGCATTCTTTACCCTATAGACGAGCCGAATTGGGTGATTCCATTACATGGAAGTAGAGTCAGTGGAAAGAAAAAGGAGGACCAAAGACATAACTCTGAAATAATTTTGTCACAGGAGAACTTGGAAAAAACAGTAGAGTCATGAGAAAATGGGGCAACAGGCTGTCCCCAATGCCACACCTTCAGAATCTTGGTGGGAAACATGTAGCTTTCCAGTGGCCGGCCATCTCACAGGCTGCAGGCATTCCTGGGATGTGTTCCTACAAAGAGACAGGGCTGCAGGCACCCTCTCCACCCCGCCTCTCCTTCCCACCTCCGGAAGGAAAACAAGGTTACCCGTATCTCCACTGTGGGGCCACTGGGTGGGGAAGCTGCTGCCTTATCTCCACATCCCTGGTGCTGCTCACCACATTCACAACAAATGACCAAGAAGCTAATTTGTAACCAAGATGACTTCCCTACTGGGTAATTCTGCAGTGAGACTTCCCAGCCAGAGGCCAGCCCAGGACCCTGTCAGTGCCTGATCAACATCTCTGGGATTGCCCTTCTTAACCCCCAGGAGGACTGCAGAGCTAAAAGAAGTCTCCAGAAACAGTGCCCAGTCTGTGAATGCACTGAAAAGTCCCCTGCACACCCAGGTTCCCATACCTCTTCCACCCTGCCCAGTCATGGACTCAGGTCCCTTGGCTCCTGAACTCAGGTGCCAGACCAAGGCCCTCTAAACCAAAGATCTTAGCTTCCCAGGCTCCAACCCCAGGAATTGCTGGGTTTGGACCCAGTGGAGGTTGCAGCTCTGAGACAGCCTTCCAATGGCATCAGGGAGAGGGAGGGAGGCCAAATGATCTTGCTGGCCCAGAGCCAGGGAATTCTCATAAATGTCTATGGGGTGGAATGCAACTGGCTGGCTTCTGGAGGGGGAGAGAGAAGGGAGCATGGAGGGAGGCGGGATGGGATGATGCCTAATTTCCCAAGCAGTGCCAAGGGTGTGAGACTTAGCTTCTGGAGCTGCTATAATTATATCCCAAATGGACATAATAATAATAATTCCTTGATACATGTTGCCACTTGAGCAGAGCTACTTAAAAGGTAGGAAAAGAGAAGGAAGTACCCTTCTGGTTTAGCCTGTTACATTCCCAAAGATTTATTTGGGGGCCCAGGGAGGCCCAACCTCTTTTATTCTGTTTCCCTCACCCCAGCCATGGAGACATTATTAAGCTGTGGGTCAGGCTACAGTGGGGTCCAAATACCCACTGTCCAATCCAAGGTAGGAAGGTGGTTTCTGGAAAGGGAACGGTGAGCCTCAGCCCTCCATGCTCCTTTCTGGTCTTCCCTGGGATCCAGGCCTGGTTGGGCTCGTAGCTGCTGGCTGCAGCCCTGAATCAAAGAACAGGCAGCTCTCCCCCATGACGAGACCTTTAGCCCCATCCACCATAGCCTTGTGCCCCTGACAGGAAACAGAATCTGAGAAGTAAAAGAGGCTGAGGAGTGAGGGACAGGGAGCAGGGAGTGGTCAGATCCTGTCCAGACACACTGGTGACCATTCTTACTCCCAGGCCAGAGGCAGAGGTAAGCCGCAGTCTACCTGACCTCTGTGCCGCTCATGAAATGGGAAGCACACACATAAAATGAGAGTCAGCATCCAACCCCTTGATGTTTGGCCAAGGCTCTTGGTAACTGAACTGTCACCACCAGGAGCAGGAAAGGGCTGAGAGAGAGGATTCGGAGCCTCTGGTTCTCGGATGATGTCAATTACAGTAACAGCTCCAGTACTGGGAAGCATGCATCCTGTGCCAGGCACTGGTCTCCTAGTCCCTGGAGACCAACCCATCAACCTTTATGTCAACCCTGTAACATAAGTGCTATCATTAGACCCACTTTAATGATGAAGAGAACAAGACTAGTGAGGCCAGGGAACTTCCCAAGTTGTCACAGCCGGCGTGAACCTACAGCCCACGGGCTCCAAGTTAACCCTTTCTGGGACTAGCAGCTTTCAGTTGTGGATCTCTGTGGTCAGGATCCAGGCTCACTCTCAAAGCCTTTGGATGCTGGTCACAGGGGGAAGGGGAGAGAAAAGGAGGGGAAAGGCTGTCACTGGCCAGAGGTGGAATCATGCTGTCCCTTCCACAGAGTGGCTCTAGGAAAGTGCCTAACCCTCTAAGCCTTGGTTCCCTCACTTGTAAAACTAGCGCGGTGTTATTATGTGCCCTAGAGACGTGGGTAAAAATCCCCAGTGCCAGTGTGTATGGTCCATACCTGGTGCAGGGCTTCATCAAGTCCTTCTATGACCTAGCCTCAGTTTCCCTCCTCCTTCCCCCAGCCTGGAGAGATGGGAGGTAACAGTGCAGAAGTTGAATTTCTTTGTTGTTGTTGATGATGATGGTGGACCAAATGCCTTTATTTTATTTGTTTATTTTTAGGTGGTGCTAAGGATCAAACCCAGTGACTTACACATGCTAGGCAAGCTCTCTGCCACTGAGCCCCAGCCCCATCCCCCAGAAGTTGAATTTCCTCTGCTGGACTCTCTGGCTATTTTTGACATTAGCCTTGGTAGGTGTTCCCACTGGAGCCTGTGGGGCCTACAGACAGAGGAGGGCAGGAGTAACAGTTTATAGCTTTGTTTTATGGGAAGAAGCAGCACTAGGGCTAGTCCCTGGAGACTGTCCAGTGACCTAATAGCTAAGGAATGGACCCCAGGAACATGTTTGGCTTCAGGGGAAAAGCATTCTGGAGGTTTCTGTGAGGGCCAACCACAGAAGCAAGTGGTGGTCCCCAGGGGTACAGCTGTGAGACTACACCTTCTCTCAGCCATGCTTGAGAGGGCTGCTGCCAAGCTGTGTGTCCAAGTCCCATAGGCCTCAGAGACAGAAATTCATTGGCAGCTTCCCTACCCACCGCTAGCCCCTGGGCTGCAGAGGCCTGGAAAGGGGAGGGCCCACCAGGCTGAGGCGAGAAGGCGGCCAGAGGGGACGAGCTGGGAGCTGAGGTTTGGAGGAACTGCCTTTGGCTGCTAAGAAACCAGGAGCTGCCAAAGCCTCCCCACTGACCCGGCAGCCGGTCAGTAGAGGGTAGAGTGACTTCCAACAAGGCCTTCCTATTCCTGCTGCGTGGAGTTCTCCTCACAAGATGCCCCCACATTCCCTCTCACTCAGGCTCCCTCCCTTGCCAAGACCCTAGGTAGGAGGCAGCTTGCCAACAGGAAGGCCTGGGAGCTGGGGGCAGGGGATGGACAGGGCTGAGGGAGGCAGGCTGGTGTCATGTCACATCTCTATGAGGATAAGGCTGGAAGCTTGCTGAGGGCAGAGCTGGTGGCCCCCTCCCTCAGCACTGCCTCCCAGAAGGTTCCCCCCACAGGGCCACTGATGCCACTGTCACTCATACAGGGGTCACGAGAAAGCTAACAGGTACAAGCAGAAGATGCTGGCAGGGGTGTCTTATGCCAATATAGATATTGGCAGCCAAGATGGCCCTGGGCCACACCCAGTGCACTGCGGGTTCTGCCATCCCAAGTTGTGAGTTTATTGTGGTTTCCCCTAAGAAACCAAAGGCTGTGTGACTGGCCAGGGATTTTCCCCTCTTGCCACATAGTTTTGGGCGTTTTTTTTTGTCAGAGGGGTCCCCTGAAAGCCCTCCCTCCCACCCCAGGCCAGGGGGAACCACGTGCTCTGGTCCCTAAGGAAGACATAGGGGAGGGCAGCCCTCACAGGCTGTGCTCAGAGGAGCAGGCCCACCTCTGCAGCTGGGCAAGCCGGAAGACCTCTGCTACAGCTTCCTCAGCCCCAGCAGCTCATCTCTCCCGACATGGGAAAGCGGCCAAGGCCACAGGCCTGTGCGGGTGGAGGACGCTCACCACTGGCAGCAGCAGGCTTGCTTGCTTGCTTGCTTAGCTTGGGCCGTTCTCCTCTCCTCCAACACGGGACATTTCCAGAGGAAAGCATACGTTGAGGGAAGGGCTACCAGACTGTGTCATAGGGATGAGGAGGTAGAGCTCAGCCAGTCAGAGCTTGTGTCTCAGTTCTACCACTTCTTCTGTGTGACCCTGGGCAAGCCAACCCCCTTCACCAGGTCACAGCCTTGTCATCTATGAACTGGGACTAACAGGACCCACTTGCAAGAATTGACTAAGACCATGAAGCAGCTCTGAGTGCCTGTATACAGTATGTAGTCACTAAATGTTTTTTTTTTTTTATAAGAGAGAGAGAGAGAATTTTTTAATATTTATTTTTCAGTTTTCGGTGGACACAACATCTTTATTTTATGTGGTGCTGAGGATCGAACCCAGAGCCCCGCACATGCCAGGTGAGCACGTCACCCCTTGAGCCACATCCCCAGCCCACTAAATGTTATTTTATTGTTGTTCTTGCTATCCTCTCTCCTCTGAGCTTCAGGAAATTCAGGCAGCACATGTGACCTTAAGTGGAGGATATGCTTAAGGCTTTATCGGAGAGGAAAAGCACAAGGCCCCAGAACCACCCGCGCAGGTCCTTGAAGGAGGAGTGCTGTCAGCTGCAGGAGGTGTCACAGAAGGCTGCTTAATCCAGCCGCACAACCCTCCCCACAGAAGTCACCATATTGACCAGATCTATTTGGACAAGGGTCAGCATTGGCCTGTACAACCATGCTTCTTCCAGTGAGAGTGTTCCACCTTTCAGAAGACCCCATGGATGCAGGCCGTCCTGAACCCACCCTCCTGCCTCGGAAAGAGGAAGAGCTGGGTGTATTTTGATGTGTTCCAGGACAATCAAACATTCAAAATCACATATTTCATTTGGTATAGCGACGGGCTGTATCTCAGTGACTTAGAGCAATGCTGTGCGATAGAACTTGCAGTGATGATAGAAATGTCCTATAAGTGCACCACCCAGGATGGTAACCACTAGCCACACCTGTGTTAGTCCCTGGAAATACGACCAATGGGACCAAGAAACTAAATTTTAAATTTTGTTTAATTTTAATTATTTGAAGTGGGCACATGCAGTCAGTGGTTGCGGTATTTAATAGAGATTGAGCACAGGCTCTGGACTGGGCAGCTCTGTGTTTGGGTGTTTTTACCTTTCCAGAGCTTTTCTCTTCTCCTTGTGTAATGGAATTCATAACAGTACCTGCCTAGAACTGACTGGAGGATTAAATAAATAGGCACTTAGCACAGTAAGAACTCAATAAAAAACCAGCTCCCATCATTATGGTGTATAATTTCTAAGTTTCAGGGGCCTTAGTCATTAAGTCACCAAGCAGCTAAATATTTACAATGTGCCAGTCATCTTTCTAAGCAAAGGGAATTTAAAAAAAAAAAAATGAGT